GTAGTGAGACACAATCGCTCCTGGCATCACCACTCTACTCCCGAGAGAACGTTGAGCACCAAAGACACTCCACTTGGAGCTTGTCTTCTTTCTGGCAGAACTGGCCTTTGGGCAAAGAAAAAGCCTATACCTCGACCACTGACAAAATTACAGAATATTCGTAAATGGATAAAAACAGGATTGTCTTATCTTGCCAAGACAGGGTGAGAGAGTCCTAAAAGGTTTCTTGCCTTTGAAAAATGGCATGTCAGTTACATCAGGCCTTAGCCAAAGTTGGTTGATTCAACATTGCAAATGAGACTTTGGGTGATTGCCCAGGTATTCAGTTGTCTCTTCCATTCGTTGCACATTTCAGAAGTTTCCCGCTTGTACTTCCGGGCTGCTTGAGTAAAATTTTCCTTCTCAGATCTTTGATGGAGTTGAAGATTAGATAGTTGTAGTTACCACCTACATTATTTAGACTCCTTGAAATAGAATGTTTAGTAAAACTTTTGTTATATGTTTCTTGCTTAACATTGTTTGTTGTTTGTAACTTTATATTCATTATTTGCTTCTATTGTATATAGTTGTATTTGGTTTTGTTCTGTCTTATTTTAGAAAAAAGGGGAGATGATAGGGGAGTTCAGCCAATCACATCCTCTTCGTGTCGCCCTAAGGCAAAAGTTTACCTATAAACCTGGCGGGTGAAAGCCCCTGCCCTCTCTCTCCCTCTCGACTTGGCCGGGATCCAGCATTCCAGATGGGTGGGATTCTGTGTAAGTTTTTCCTACTGTTTTATTAAAGCTGTATCTTTTGTAAGATAGTCTGGGGACTTTTCATTACCGATCGCCCCGCAGCATCATAGTGGCATACTTGGCAGGGCCTGCTGAAAGGTACCCACTTGGTCTTTATTTTCTTAAATCATTGCAGTCTTTTTGTGGGGCTCCTAACAGTAGAAGCAGGAGCTGCCTCTGACTCTGTTACCTGCTTTTGGGACCCTTCCCTCCTACTGGGGTGCCTCATCCAGCCTTAATAGGAGAGAAAGGGTGTCTAGTTTTACTGCAACTTGAGATGCCATGGCTGACTGATATACTTGGGAAGCTTGCCCCTCTCCGAAGAGAAAGGAGAAGGAGTGGATGGGGGAAAGGGAAGAAGGGCAGTGGAGGGAGGGAGAAGAAACTGGTCGGGCTGGGGAAATTTAATTAATTAATTAAAAAAATGAAAAAAAAGATAGAAAGAAAAGCCTCATGATAGTCTGCACACCTCCCCCAAAGGAGTCTCTTGGCTTTTTCCTGAATATCCAAAGAAACGTGTTTATGTTAAGTCCAGTGAAGACCTAGGTGATGTTTTCCTGCTGGCCCTGCTGGCTCGCCATCCTTAGTACCCTACTCTCTCAGCGTGCAGTGTCAGTCTTGGTATCTTGGGAATGTGTTTTTGAATCACAGCTTTCAGCATTGGTTCTGTTCCTTTTCTTTGTCCGCCTTCTGTAGAAATCACTGCCATCAGTCCACTGTTATTGCTTCTAGTCTAGGCTTTCGATATTCTGGTGGTGCTGGGTTTAAACCCAGGGCTTGGCACAAACTAGGTAAGCCCTCTAATACAGAACCACATCCCAGTTCTAGTTCCTTCTTAGTGTGTATGAATAGGAAATTATATTTTAGGAAGATAAAAACTATTAATAAATTTAACTTTAACATTGCAAAGTTATTCCTTCTGTGATTTTTTAAAAAGAAATTAGTGTGTGTGTGTGTGTGTGTGTGTGAACAGCACATGGGTGCTGCTGAGTCTTATGAGTGGATGTGAGCTACCAGATGCATAAGCTGGTATCTGAACTTCATTATTCTGCAAGAGCAGCAAGTGCTCTTAATGACTAAGTCACCTCTCCAGACCCTACTTTATACTTTTATAGATTTTCTTTTATACTAAAAAATCTTCCAGTTAGTGGTGGCACACACCTTTAATCCCTGCACTCAGGAGGCAGAGGTAGGTGGATCTCTGTGAGTTCGAGGCCAACCTGGTCTACAAAGTGAGTTCCAAAACAGCCAGAGTTGTTACAAGGAGAACTCCTATCTTGGAAACAAAATGAAACAAAACAAAAAAACCTTAGTTCTTAAAGATAATAACCAAAATTCTTATTTGTTTTATCACCTGTATAATGTGTCAAATAAAGTTAGTATCCTTGTTTTTTTTTAATGTATGGTTTCACATAGCCCAAACTGGCTACGTAGTTAAGGATGACCTTGAACTTCTGCCCGGTTCTCCAACTGCTGAGCTCTGGGATTGCAGGCAGTCACCACCACACTTGGTTTATAAAGCAGTGAGGACCAAACTCAGAGCTTTGTGCTTGGTAGGCAAACACTCTACCACATACAGCTCTAGCTCCTGACTATTTCTTTATGGTTTTAGATTTTTGTCCTCAGGATAGATCCCCAAAAGAGATAAACAACCAAAATCTGTATTTGGAAGTCAGTTGAAATAATTCCATTTATGTGTATGTTTATGTCATACCCACTTGCTGTGTACTAGCTTCCTTCTGATTGGTTTCCACTTTTGCAGACTGCTTTTTAAACTTATTTTTCCTTTAACTTTACCTTTTAATTGTGTAAAACGGTCTGTGGTTTTTCCATCCAAACGACTTTCAAACAGTTCTACTCCAAGTTTATTTCTTGCCCACACCTTCCCACCCAATAGAACACATCCGACATTGGTGTCACTGGTTTATTACTCCACATCATTCATTATTGCTACACCAGAAGGGGTTGGTGTGAAATGAGTGTGACTCCCCATGTAGGAGGAAGGAGGCATCCTTGACTGTGGGGGCCTCAGCTCGCTTGGAGAAGCGTGTGTTTGTGAGGAGAGAGAAAGACGGGGAGACAGCAAGAAAGAAAAACGAAGTGTGGGGCTGTGATGAACACCATGACCCAGGCGACTTGGGGGAGGGAAGGGTTTATTTCAGCCTACAGGTGCAGCTGGCAGTCTATCACTAAGGGAAGTCAAGGCTGGAACTCAAACAAGCAGGGAACCTTGTGAAATACAGCTCTTAAGGGAAAGGTGACCTGGTAGTCGGAAGCCAAGGAATACTACAGCTAGGAAGGGAAAGGTGACTCAAGGGAAGTGTTGCAGCTCTACTCCAGTGGGGCGGGTTCCCTGCCAAGTGTTATAGTCCTTGCTCCAGGAAAGATTTCCCCAACGGGAGTGAAATGACTCTGCTCCAGCAGGGCAGGGTTTCCCCAGCAAAGATGTTACAGCTCTGTTCAGTTTCTCCTGAGTGTAGCGACTCTGCTCCAGCAGGAGACGGTTTCCCCAATCAAAGCCTTAGGGTTCTGCTCTGCTCCTGCTCCAGCGAGAGCCCTGGCAGCTCTGCTCTGCTGAGGGAGTCTTCCCACCGGAGTGCCCCAGTCTCCTTGGCTCCAGCGAGGAGCCGCGTTACTTCTCTGCGCAGCTCTCCTAAGCACTGGTCAAAAAAAGTCATTTCAACAAGCCTCATTCCAGACATTTACTGGGAGGGAGGAATCCAGGAGAGTGGTCGCCTTTGCCAGGGTGGCAAAAATGGGCAGCCCCAAACTGAACAGGTACAGGGCTTATCTAGGGTTTCCTAAGGGTGGAGCTTTCCTAGGTAGAGATTTTCAGGGTGGGGATTAGTAGGAACTCAATTCCTGAGCTTGGGAGAAACTCAAAGATTGGTTGGACTTTGTGCTCTGGGATTGGTTGGATTTGAACTCCTAAACTGGTTATGGGCAGAGTGTGTTTCCTTGGCGCTGGTCTCAGGACCAGGGTGTTCTTTCACTGGCCCTTCTTACCCTACAAACCTGGAGGAGGCAGGAGCTGGTGCAGAAGCCAGAGAGGTGGCACAGTGCTGCTTACGAACTTGCTCAGTCTACTTTCTTAGAGAAGCCAGGATCACCAGCCCAAGCGTGTCACCACCCACGATGAGCTGGGCCCTCCCCCATTAAACACTAATTAAGAAAATGCCCTACAGCCTGATCTTATGGAGGCTTTTTTTTTTCCTCAGTTGAGGTTCCCTCCTTTCAAATAACTCTAGCTCGTGCCATGGACATAAAAGTAGTGAGCACAGAACACTTCACAGGAATAACAAAGCTTCTTGAAGCTGTGAAGAAAGAACAACATTAAAATCAAAACACTAAATTTTTAATTACCTTCAAAGTAAAAAAAAAATTAAAGCAAAGCCAACACTGAATGAGATCAAGAGCGCCCTCTGTTGGCTGCTGATGTGCTGTGCAAGACCTAGTCTGTTGACTTTGGAAACTGCAGCTTCCCGTGCAAGCTGGGTGGATTTGCCCCTTCCAACAAACCAGGAGGGGGCAGGTGAGGCTCACACCACATCTACTGTCTGCTCCCAGACTGCCAAGACCTGTGGGCACTAGGACAGATACTGACTCATGTCCTATGTGTTCATGTCCACATCTTAGAAACGGGGATCCTTTTCTTTTTCTTCTAGCATCCTTTCCCCTAGCTTAGAAAACAAAATCCATGAGTTCTGCTGTCCCTTTGCCCCACCTCTCAAAGTTCATGCTATTCAGTATCAGTGTGGGAGAGAAAAGGGGATAATTTGGGGGCGATTTTCTTACCTTCGCTGGTCCTCGGTTGCTTATTATTTGTCTTAAGACCAGGTCTTCCTATGTAGTTCAGGCTGACCTTGAACTGGCCATGCTCCTGCCTCAGCCCCTCCAGTGTCAGGACTGCAGATGTGAACCAATACACCCAGCTTCTGAGCTTTAGCTCTCTGGTTTGGAAAAGAGCAGCGATGGTATCCCACACACAGGGAATCCTGCGATGGTACCACACACAGGGATGCCTGCGATGGTATCCCACACACAGGGAATCCTGTGATGGTACCACACACAGGGATGCCTGTGATGGTATCCCACACACAGGGATGCCTGCAGAGGCGTAGGGTCAGTGACTGTAAATCCTGTGGTACCAGGGCAGTACGCCACTGGGTCAGCCCGGAGCTCCTACAATTACTAACATTTCCTGGTTGTTTTCTTTTTGTTCCACAGGAAATTTGTGAGAATCCCCGATTTATCATTGGTGGTGCCAACAGAACTGACATCTGCCAAGGAGATCTAGGTAGGAAGCTCCCTCCACCATGTCCTGCCTGATGCCCCAGGGCTAATCAACAGGTGCCATCTCTATTCAGGATGTGAAGAAACCAAATTCTGTTTTTTCTTTTAATGCATATTAGAACCTTTTTTTATTATTCCTTTAATTGTGTGTGTGTATACATACCCACATACCATGGCACATACCTGTGAAGGTCAGAGAGCGTTTGGGGGGGGGCAGTTTTTTCCTTCTGCCAAACTTGGATCAAACTCGGATCATCATACAAGACGTCTCCACACTAATGGAGTCTTTTGACAGAGGTGCTGTTTGCCAAGAGGAGGAGAGGCCCAGGTCCTGCTGTCCTGGAGCGGCCCAGGTTCTGTTGGCTTGGAGCGGCCTGGGTTCTGCTGGCCTGTCATTTGGCTGTGGCGCAGCCCTTTCTCTCCTACCACCTTTTGTTCTGGGAGCACCCTCCCTGGGGCAGACTGTGAAGGCAAATTGGAGGCAACATTAAAAGACAATTTAAAACTTAACACCCCCCAAAAGGCAAGGACAGCTGAAAAGCATCAGCTTAGTTTGTTCCAGAAAAAGAGACTGAGGACCTCCTGGGTGTTGGGGCTTCCAGCACCTAGGGACACTGCCTGGAGAGTGTGGACTAAGCTCTGAGCCCCTCAAACCAATGCACTGCTTCCGAGGACAGGCTGCTGATCCATAGGAAGGAGATAGGTGTCTTGGGCAGTTGGCAGTCTCTCCTAACCAGCAGGGTGGTAGCTAGCCCATGTAGAGATATGCGAGACTGTCAGGGCACCGGGTATGTCCCTTTGCCAGCCTGAGTGCCCTTTGCAGACTGGCCCTGCAACACATGTGTAGCTGATACACATCATGCAGCTTTTCTTGATGCCAGAAGGGAAAATGGGCTCACCCAGCAAAGACAGAGGGCGGCCATGATTACTCACTGCTCTGTCTCCAAGAAGGAAGTGAGTCTCTTGTAAAAGAAGGAATCAGTTGACCTTAGGAAAACATCCAGTCCTAAGAGAATGCATTATCCTGTTTCTCACATCAGGAGAGGACAGACAGGAAGTAGGGCAGTGGGCAGAGTAAGCATCCCAGTTCTTCAGCCATGGGGAAACTCCTGGCAGGGGTCTGGGCTGTCTCTTTCCCGAGAGGCAGCCCCGCCTGACTAACTAGGTCTGTGTTTGCATGCAGGGGACTGCTGGTTTCTTGCAGCCATTGCTTGCCTGACCCTGAACGAGCGACTGCTCTTCCGAGTTATACCCCATGATCAAAGTTTTGTTGAAAACTATGCAGGGATCTTCCACTTCCAGGTGAGAAAATGGGGATGGGGTTGAGATGGCAGCCAGGCCTCGTTGATGCGTTAAAAATAACCACAGAGAAGGACAGGAATGCTCGGTGTTGGGTTAAGAAATGGAAACAAAGTAACCTTCTCTTGGGTTAGTTTAACCAAGAGCCAGTCCACTTCTCCCTCCCTGTGTGTCTACCGTCTGTTCACAGTCTGTGGTTACTGACCTGTCTGTAGTCTGTCTGTTTTGTTTTGTTTTCTTTTTGTTGTTGTTGGTTTGTTTTTATTGTTTGTTTGTTTGGTTTCGGTTTTTGAGTCTGGGTTTCTCAGCGTAATCTTGCAGCCTGTCCCAGAACTCACTCTATAGACAAGGCTACAGTCAAACTCACAGAGATCCTTCTGCCTCTGCCTCCCAAGAACTGGGATTAAAAGTGTGTGCCACCACTGGCCGGCATAGTCTGTTCTATGTGTGTGACTTGTCTGTCCTTGTTGCCTCTGTGTGGTATCTGATGTATGTGTGTGTTGGCTGTCACACCTATGTCTGTTCTCATCTCTGACTGTTGTTTTGTTTGTTTGTTTGTTTGTTTTGTTTTGTTTTGTTTTCTCGAGACAATGTTTCTCTGTAGCTTTGGTGCCTGTCCTGGAACTAGTTCTTGTAGACCAGGCTGGCCTCGAACTCACAGAGATCCGCCTGCCTCTGCCTCCCAAGTGGTGGGATTAAAGGCATGTGCCAACACTGCCCAGCTCCCTGTGCCTGTTTTATACGTGTCCGTTGCCTGTGTGTGTGTGGTGTGCACGTGTGCATGTGTGTGTATCTCAGTCTGTGCCTGCCTCTTAAGTAGGCTTTGCTTTGTATTTACTGAATGGTGCAGAAAGCATGGCATGGGAAAGGAAGGAGTAATTCCTTGCAGTAATCTTGAACAGAGTTTTACAAGGAAATAAGTTGTGTTACTGACCCCAAATCTCCCAGAAGAGCACTCAGAACCACAGACACACTATCATGTATTCACGCGTTACTTCCAATATTTATGGGATATTTCTTGCTTAAGGTTGCTTCCAACCTGTTGGCTGTTTTTGGTAAACAATTACCACAGCATGCATAGTCTTGGGTCAGGGCATGGGAAAGTATATTACTTAAGATGGAAATTACGCATTAGCTTAGGTCGTAAAGGCTGATTGCATGGGAAATCCAAAGCATACTGAGATTGGTTACGCTGATCTCTTAAAGGCCTGTTAAACAGGCCAAGGACAGAGCAGGACAGCAGTTTAAGTGCGTGGTCCTAGATGATCTCAAGGCGAGTTATAAACTTGGCTTCAAGGTTCAGGAAAAGTTCTGTCTCTCTGGAGTCAAGAAATATTTTCAGAAAATTATATGACCACACAGCCCGTCTACCCATCTCTGGTCTTTTGACCCTGACCTCCCAATGGGTCAAGGAAGGGATTCAAACACCTACCTGTGGACAGTGACCCCTTGGCTGCTCCAAGCTTGTGAGGGAGCAGCTGTTGTCTGTGCTCTGACTTAACACACTTTCCACTGTGCCCGCAAGGGTGGCAGGAAGGCATCCTGGCTTCTGCTCTGTGTCTATTTTTGCCCTCCAGCTGGCTGGCTGCTATGTAATTGCTGCAGCCCCCTCAGACAGGTTCCTAAGACGCCTGCTCTGGGTTTTTACTGGGACCCCTGGTTCATGAACTGCAGCTCCCTTACTCTGTACCCCTGACAGCAGAGTCTAAGTCAAGTCTATCACTGCAAGAAAATTCTAGTCATCTGGGCATTTAGTTGCGAGTTTGACCCAGACCTGAAATTATTAATTCTAGAATTAATTTATCCACTAGAACTTTTCTGGGTACTGATCATTTGACTCAGAGACAAATTCTAGACTGGAAAAGGAAAATAGAAAAAAGAAAGAAGAAAGAAAGAAAGACAGATAGACAGACAGACTTAAGTTAGCCCAACAGCTTTACTTAACCTTATGAGATCTCAGCTCAATCCTGGGCACACACTGGAACCGCTTGGAATACATGAAAGTACTTATAGCGGATCTGTCCCAGATCTCTAGGCAAGGGAGGAAAGTGTCAGGTCCTAAGATATTCACAGAGTGTCCAGAGCTGCAGACATGTGGTTTCTGCATCACATGTGTAGCTCACATTGTATTTAGAGATAGACTCCCACACTCCAAGGCAAGCTTCAGGTGCAAAGCCTAGGAAATGACAGCTGAGGCTCAGAGCCCTGTGGGATGTGGACTCGGGTCAGGGCAGACAATGGATGTGATGGTGTGTCTCGCTTCTTGCAGTTCTGGCGCTATGGAGACTGGGTAGACGTGGTTATTGATGACTGTCTGCCAACGTACAACAATCAGCTGGTTTTCACCAAATCCAACCACCGCAATGAGTTCTGGAGTGCTCTGCTGGAGAAGGCTTACGCGAAGTAAGGCGACGGTTTGGATGGGAGACAGGACTGTGGGTGGGGAAATGATTTGAGAATTCAGCTGAAGTCTCGCTCACATTGGGCGAGGCATGTGGACACATGCTTGTGTGTAGTATGGGTGTTCAGCTAAGACCCTGTGTCAGCCTGAGATCAGGTCCAGGAAGTAGGAGGCCTAATTGAAAAGCATGAAGTTAATGAGAAGAAATGAAGATGTGTGCGATTCCTGAAGCTGGCTCTTGATCCTGCCTTCCTGATGGTGTGTCTAGTCTTGCATTAGCTCACTGCATCTCTGGAGCTCAGCCAGGTTGTCTCTTACCTTAGACTCTCTGCCTCTGCTGCTGGGCTCAGCAGACAGTGGAAGAACGCCTTGGGGGAATGGGGACAATGTGGTGGCTCTCTGTCTTAACTTAACTAATCATACTTCCTGGAACTCCTAGAGTCTAGACTGGCTTTGTCCTCTCTCCAAGGCTCCATGGTTCCTATGAAGCTCTAAAAGGTGGGAACACCACCGAAGCCATGGAGGACTTCACAGGAGGGGTGACGGAATTTTTTGAGATCAAGGATGCTCCCAGTGACATGTACAAGATCATGAGGAAAGCCATCGAGAGAGGTTCCCTCATGGGCTGCTCCATTGATGTAAGTCTGGTTCCCAGGAAGCCTTCTACTTTTAGCAACACGCTGCTCCTGCTGGGAGAGGGTGAATGTTTCGTTTTAAGAAGCAAGAGCCAGATGGTGAGATGGCTCATTGGTAAGAGCACTCACTACTAACCCTCGGGACCTGGGTCTGATCCTTGGAGTCCTCGTGGGAGAAAGAGACCTCCACAACCTGTCATTTGACTGTGCATGCATCCCCACCCCACACTAAAAAAAAAGGAACTACCAGCAATCCCAGCAATTTGTCATTTAGAAGTTGAGGCAGGAGGACTGCTATTTCTGGCCAACCTGGGATGCATAGCGAAATCCTGCTTTAAAAAAATAAAAAGCATGAATGATTCTTGACTTTAAAATTGACAGTTTTTTCAAGGGAAATGTATTCCTGGGGGTGATGGGTAGCTCTCAATTGGAAAAAAAAAAAGACTGAGCAATGACATTCCATGCCCTAGAATTCAGGTAGAAATGGATCCAGAGGCTCCACTGACAGGCCTCCTTTGTCAGACTGCTCAGAGCAAGCACAGCCACAAGGCCAACCGTGTCACTGGCTGTAGATCTATGCCCACCGTTGCCCTTAGGAACAGTAGTCGCTCCCTAGCCACTGAGCTATGACATCACCTCAATTCTTGGGCTTTGTGCTACCGGCTGGATGATCCCCTGAGTCCCTCTCTCAGTGCATCATGGTGATATGAACTGAGACAGGGACAAGGAGAGGAGCCACCATGGCCTGGGCTCCATGTAGGCTGCTTTGGGACTAGCAGTCTGGGGCATTTCTTTTCAGAGGAAGGGATGACGCAAGCTAACTCCTCCTTTCTCTCCCAGCACTCCCTGAGTAGGAAGGCTTGGCTGTCAGTCAGCTTAGGCCCCTACACAGGAGAGCCCTCTTCCTTATCATTCTCCTGCATCTTTTCTGCCTTTGTGCACAGTTGATATCTCCTCTTTTGTTCTGTCTGTCACTCCTTTCTCCTGTCTTCTTTCCCTCCCTCCCTGTTTGCTCTTTCCCTCTCCTGGGTTCTCCGCTCTCCTTCCCACCGGGCCTTAGGACGGCACCAACCTGACTTACGGTACCTCTCCTTCGGGTCTGAACATGGGAGAGTTGATTGCGCGGATGGTGAGAAATATGGATAACTCGCTGCTCAGAGACTCAGACCTGGACCCCAGGGGCTCAGATGACAGACCGACAAGGGTGTGTACACCTCCAGCCGTCACGACTGACCTACACATCCCATCCTGACGTCAGCTCCCCAGAGCAGTCAGTGCCAAGAGAACAAACTCCCTCCCCTTTGTGCGCTCTCCCTGGGGAACACGGGCCCCTGCCCTCCAGGGCTTACATCCTCCTACCTGGAAGGCACATATGTTACAGAAGGACTGAGCCATATAAAAAGACAAAGGAAAATTAGTAGCCTATGTTTTCCCATCTAAAGATAACTGCCCAGCATTTGCTATATCTTTCTGGAACATACTTGAACCATATTTTTGTTTTTAAAATCATCTTATTATATGTTACATCTTTGCAGCCTGTCTTTTCTTTTTCTTTCACTTTTTTGTCAGATTAATATTTTTAAGTACTTTAGTATTCTTTTATATCATTTTAGTAGCTGCACAATATTCTAATGGGCAAATATGTTATGATTTACTTACTAATATTCTGTTATTGGAAAGCTAGAGGGTTTTTTTAAAGTCTGTTTTCAAAAGTGCTATATAAGCTTCTTAGTAGAAACATCTTGGTATACATTCACAATGGATTTCATAAGACCAAGTCCCAAAGTCAAAATGGGTCAAAATGATAGGCTGTGTAGAACCGAAAGTCATCTCGGAAAGCCTTCGAGGTCTAGGCGTGAATACTATGCCCTAGCCTGGGTCTAATGGGGAACAAAATCCAAGAGACTAAGATACAAAGTTCCAGACTCTCCTGCCACCTTGAAGAAGGATTCGGGAATGCAAACCCACATGGCTCTCAGAAGTCACCCCACCCCAAAGCTGTTGTTACCAGACCCCTGGTGCTGGGAGCCTGTGCAGTGCTCAGTGGGACTTCCTGATCTATCTTACTTCTGCAGAAGAACCCTCAGGACTACAACTTGGCCTAGGACAGCCCTCCCTGTACTGAGTGTAGTTCCGTCACAACAGCGAACCTTCCAGTAGTCCCAGTAGGGAGTAGGGACCAGGTTTTCTTGACTTTCATGTCCTAGGTAAGTGTGAGGGAGGCAGGGTAATGTCAACAGTTTAGATCTACAGGGTTTTTTAAACTCCCTTTCTCAATTCCTTTTTTTGGGGAATAGTCCACTCTGGATGGGCTCAAGGGAAGGCAGATAGACCCCAGCTGTCCCCTCTGCTTCTCTGAGGAAGTCTAGAAAGGAGGGACAAATTCTTTCCCTCACCTTCTATTCCAGCACCCACCTTGCACTCTGATCATCAGGGCAGCTTGATCAGCTAGGGGTCTGGGACTGCATCTTCCCATTGCCCTTGAAAAACACCAGTGAGGTCTGATGCTGGCCACAAGGCATACCGTCAGGGAAATAAGCCGTCCTTAGTCTGAGGTAACTCAGAAACGAGCCAGGGTCAACCCTTGTCTCCGAGCAGCAGAGCTTCTACCCACCAGTTCCTGACAGGCTGTCTGGTTCTCGCTCTACAGACAATTGTTCCCGTGCAGTATGAGACAAGAATGGCCTGTGGGCTGGTGAAAGGTCACGCCTACTCGGTCACCGGGCTGGAGGAGGTGAGTCCTGTGGAGTTTGGTGGGACGTGGGGACACAGCTGAGTTGACCTCCTAAAGTCTATGCCTCCTTCACCAATGAAAGAGCTGGCCCATCAGGTCCAAGCTGGCTTCCGGGGGGTCAGGGGGCATTATGGGACAAACTAGAGGTAGATGAGGGGCTGTGTAGGCTGCTTGGTTCATCGCTGTGTGAAGCGAATGTACCTGCCTGTGTGATGTGTGTGCGGAGGTCAGAGGCCAGCACTGGCTATCCCTCGGTGGGTCACCTTATTGTGAGGCAGTGTCTCCCACTGAGCATGGACCTGATCAGTTGATTAGATTGGTTGCTCAATGAGCTCCAGGCATCTGTTCCTCCCCATGCTGGGGTTACAGACATCCTTAACTGTGCCATCTTTTCACACGGGTGCCGGGGATCCAAACTCGGCTTTCTATTCTTGCCCAGCAGATATTTCACCAACTGAGCCATTTCCCTGGCCCCTTTCTTTGCTTTTAATGGTGAAGATGGGAGTTTTTCTAATGGCTCCAAGGAATAATTAGAAATATTGCTTTTATCTTACAAAGCTGGATTTGAGTATTGCCATGTTTCCTGTTCTTTCATGTTCATTTTCAATATGTTGCTTCCTGTGGGGTTGCTGAAGTTTCCTGGGTCATTTCCCAGGCAGGAACACTGTGAAGTGGTAACATTCAGTTGGGCATGGTATGCCCTAAAAGAAAAGAACGGGCTGAGAGAGTGTCTGCAGCCCCCAGTGCATGTGACAGGCGTCTTTTTCTAGTTGGTCCATCTGTAGTTTAGCCAGCGGGAGCCTTTTTTAAAACCCACACAGAAGGCTGGCAAGGTGATTCTGTTGGTAAAAACACTCATTGTGCAAGTCTGAAACCTGGAACCCATTGTAGAAGAGAAGACTGAGCTGGGCAGTGGTAATGCACACCTTTTAATCCCAGCACTCAGGAGGCAGAGGCAGGCGGATCTCTGAGTTCAAGGCCAGCCTGGTCTGCAGAGCTAGTTCCAGGATAGTCTCCAAAGGCACACAGAGAAACTCTGTCTTGAAAAACCAAAAAAAGAAAATAGGAGGGGGCGGGGGAGAAGGCACCCTCACATCACACACATACATGCACACGCCTGCACGACCACACACATAGTAAAAATAAGAGCTGAAGAGGAGGTGGCTCAGCAGCAAAGAGCACTTATTGCTCTCCCAGAGGACCTGGGCTTGGCTCCCAGCACCGTTAGGCTGGTCACAACTACCCATAACTCTAGTTCCAGGGGATCTGACAGCCTCTGGTCTGCTCAGGCACCTGGCATGTGGTACACATAACTCATACATCCACATAAAGAAAAAAGTAAGAAAAGAGAAATGAAGGAAAATCCACAAAGAAATGCTTAATATGTAAATGCTCACCTTCCACCAACACAAACAATGACCGGGCTCCTTACCTGGTCAGCAAGGGCGAGGCAGACAGTTCTCATACTGAGTTCTCTCGGCTTCTACCCCAGTTCTCAGAGCGAGTCAGACACCCCATCTTTCCAAACTTGCTTTTTGCCCCAGGCCCTGTTCAAAGGCGAGAAGGTGAAGCTGGTGCGGCTGCGGAACCCCTGGGGTCAGGTGGAGTGGAACGGCTCTTGGAGTGATGGGTAGGTGGGGCAGGCCACAGAGCAAGAGAGCCTGGGGCCACACTGTTGGCTTGGGGACCAAACCATGAGAGTACTGGTTGGTACTGGTGCAACATCACATTCAAACCAGTGACCCGAAGAGAAGGTGTGGGCTCCCCAAAGGGGCTGGAGGTGGAAACGAAAACCAGAGACTCAGTGAGTATAATGATGATTATAGACTTGAAAGGAATGATTTGGGGGGAGGGGCAGTTCAAGGCAGGGTTTCTCTGTGTAGTCCTGGCTTTCCTGGAACTCACTCTGTAGCCCAGGCTGGTCTCAAACGCAAGAGATCCGCCTGCCTCTGCCTCTGCCTCTGCCTCCCAAGGACTGGGATTAAAGGTGTGCACCACCACCACCCAACGAAAGGAATGATTCTAGAAGCGTCTCAGTGCAGGGAGTTTGCAGGCAATTTCCTTCTTAGTGTCTCTTTGCCTCTTCTGTAAAACGGGAGCGGTACCAGCACTTTCGGGTGGCTTGTATGAGGAGTAGACGTAGACATGACAGCTGGGGAAGGTGCTTACCTGAGACTAAGCTGGCTTCTCCTTTGACGACCACACACAACGTCCCGAAAGTCCTGTGAAGGAATTTTACTGCGCACCTCTGAAAAGAGTGGGCTGCGGATCACAAGACAACCACCACAGAGACGTCATCAAAGGCTCCAGAACTTTACAGCCCCTCTAGTGGTCTCCCTTCACGCTTTGGGTGGGATGGGTTACTTGGAGGTAGCGCTGTATGAATGGCGCTCGGTGCTGTGGGAGGTCCTCCGTGTCCCATCATCGTCTCTTCCCGCTAGTCCAAGTCACCTGCAAGGACCTTGCTGTGCTTTCCAGACTAACTCGGTGCCTTAACACACTTCCTGCTGACTCCTCGCTTGCAGGAGTTGCTGAATGGGGGCCCTGTCTCCCACCAATCTCCACTTTGATTCCAGGGCACCCTGACTCCAAGCACACCCTGAACCCCATTTTAGCTTAACTCTAACTCAACGAGTCTAGGAAGTGTAAAAGCATCCAGGCTTTGAGATGGTGCGACCATTTCCTGCCTGGAAAGAAGAGCCATCTACATGCCAGATCTTAGCATCTCGGTGGGGAACCAAGCTAACAGTTCCGATGGGTTATTTTGCGAACACATCATAGTTCTGAGGTAGATGACATAATGTTTCCCTTTTATGGCTGAGGAAGTCAAAGCTGACAGGCCGAGTGACATGTCCAAGGTTACATAACTGGCTGTCGTCACAGGAGAATCCCAGTTTGCCAATTTCAGAATCGAGTTCTTAATGAGGAGGCTAGAAGATTCAGCCAGAGACAGTGAAGTCCTTGTGAACCCATTCGAGGAGTTTGGTCTTAGCATTGAAGGTGGCAGGAAATGATTGCAGGCCTTCCCACCGAGGGGAGCAGGTCGGAGCTGTATTTCCTTGGCTCATACTGGCTGTGGTCTAGACGCGGGCTTCTCTAATTTAGTATTTCTCTGACCCTCTGTCCCAGCCCACATTAGCCACCCCCCATCCTCCTTCCTTAGTCCCTCTATTTTCCCACCAGTTGGAAGGACTGGAGCTTGGTAGACAGAGATGAAAAGGACCGTCTCCAGCACCAGGTCACTGAGGATGGAGAGTTCTGGTAAGTTCACGACCCAGGCAGGGAGGTGAAACCTCGGTTCCCAATCAGAAGCCACCAGGCTCCATCTGGACCCTGTCTTCCCACTCGGCCTTAAGGCTCACTAAGATGAAGTTCCGACAAGAGACTGCCACTTCCTAGTAATGACTGAGCTCCATCCCAGGCCAATGCCCATCAACTCTTGTTGAAGCCACCCCTGTGCACTGGCCACCCCTGTGCACTGGCCACCCTGTACACCGGCTCTGATGCAGTTCTCTTCTGAGCCAAGAGGCTTTTCTTACCTGATTCCCAGTGCCTCCCTTATTCTGGTCATGTCAGCCTTCTGAATCTCAGCTGGCAGGAGGGTCCCTTACAACTCCTATGGTTCCCTCAGAACCCAGATGCATTTATTTGTGATGTCATTAGCCTTAAAAATATCCTTCCCCAAGTGACATCTCTTTTCCCTGTGCCTAAAGTGTGCCTGGCAATGGTGAAATGCACAGTAACATTTTAGAGAATGATTTTCCATCCGGTGCTCTCTCATCAAAGACGAATGAGGAGCCACTCCTCTAAGACATATATATAAATGTGTGGGGTCGATATGTCGGGAGTGCAGCGCCAGGCACACACCTGTAGGTCCATCATTTGGTAGACAGGCAGGAAGATCGAAAGTCGAAGGTCAACCTAGACTACACCATGAAATCCTGTCTCTCAAAAGCAAATGAGCAAATGCACCAGCATTGCCAGGGTCTTCTGGGGACTTTGTTGGGTGGGAGTAGCCCTTGCCTTCCCTTCCCCAGCCTGCGTGCGTCTCTCTTTCAACCCGTCAGGATGTCATACGAAGACTTTGTCTACCATTTCACAAAGCTGGAGATCTGTAACCTCACGGCTGACGCCCTGGAGTCTGACAAGCTCCAGACCTGGACGGTGTCTGTAAACGAGGGCCGCTGGGTGAGGGGCTGTTCAGCCGGAGGCTGCCGCAACTTCCCAGGTGGGAGACCCTTGAGATGGGGGAGGGGCTGGGCACTACTCATTCCAGGTAGACCAATATTAGCCCGCATTTACTGGGTCTGTACTTTGCTTAAGGCATGCACTGTCTCATTAAATCCTCGTTTAAGGAAGAACACAGCCATGCTGAGGAATCCCTAACAGGGAGCGGGTAGCAACTCCCTGGTACATTTGCGTTAGCGAAGGCTGAAGCAGGCAACTGTCAGAACACCATGTCAGTCCTGCTGAAGGTACACTCAAGGACCCGGAAGGCACTACAGCAGTCCATGGCAGAAATGCCGAAAGCCTGGTCAAGTCGGGGGGCTTCAGAGATGGAGGGGAGAATTGAGATTTAGAGATGGAATAGTGAATGATATCAAGGGTCCCAGAGCAATGACCCAAGTGGATGAGCTTTTGATGTGTTTGGTTGTGAAGATATAGGAAGAGGACCTCAGGTAATGGCATGAGAAGTTTGAAGCACCCATTGACTAGAGGATAAAGAGAGATGGTTCAGCTTATAAAGAGCTTGCCTGATAAACTGAGTCTGGATCCCCAGAACCCACATAAGAGTCAGGCACGGTCAGTAGTGTGTCCATAAGTCCAGAGAGCTACAGTCATATGAGAAATGGAGACAAGAGAATTCCCAGCAGCTCAGAGCCTCAAACAAGGTGGAAGGAGAGGACTGGTGCTCAAGGTTGCCCTTTGACCCCCATGCCATGGCATACATGCACCTGCTTTCACACACAAACACACATAATCATATACACGCAACATCCATACGTGTTTTATAATGAAAACAAAAAGTGAATAAATGTGAGGAAATGGGTGGTAGAGAGAGGGGGGACGTTAGACGAGAAGCTGAGCTAGGATACGTAGTTCAGGTGTCATGGGAACGTAGGGCTCAGTTAGAAAGCAGAAGTCGCACCTGGGTTTCTCTGTGTAGCCCTGGCTGTTCTGGAACTTGCTCTGTAGACCAGGCTGGTCTCAAATTCAGAGATCCGTCTGCCTCTGCCTCCTGAGTCCTGGGATTAAAGGTGTTTGCTGCCACCACCTGGCTCATTGAGGAATTTTTACACAACCCTGGGTATATAGGTGTATAGAATTGTCTCAAAAAATGAAAAGAAAATAAACTTATTTTATTTTAAAACAATTTGTTAGTGCACACATATGTTCACCACTATTAAAGACAAAAGCAAATGTGTATGTTGGTGAGATAGATGTACTTATTTACTTTTATACAAAGATTTGAATCTTGCTGAATATTAGATATGGTAGGACACAGAACATCTTTAACATTTTTTTGGAATTGACAGATATTTTGATGTTATAATTGGCAATTTTGAGAATTCCATTTATATAAACAAGTAGCACAAAATGGCAGCAGTAACTTTAGGATCATTTCAGAAGTATCTGGGCATTCTGTCTTAATTCTAAGTCAAAATCCATCTAATGGGGATTAAAGAGATGGCCCGGTGGTAAAAAGCACTTATTGCTCTTGCAGAGGACCAAGGTTTGGTTCCCAGCACCCATATGACGGTCTTTATCTGACCTCCATGGGCACCAGGCATGCATGTGGCACACAGACCTATACACATAGAAGTAAAAATCTACAAGTTACCCCTCACAAAGGGGACCTAGGACATAGGTTCCCTGTCTCATTTTCCTTCCTGTCCTTTCTCCATATCTGAACGTGGACTCCCTTTTGGGGGGCACAGACACTTTCTGGACCAACCCGCAGTACCGTCTGCAGCTCCTAGAGGAGGACGATGACCCTGACGACTCTGAGGTGATCTGCAGCTTCCTGGTGGCTCTGATGCAGAAGAACCGGCGCAAGGACCGGAAGCTGGGAGCCAATCTCTTCACCATTGGCTTTGCGATCTACGAGGTATGGAGACCCTACCCGTGCCAGCGCAGAACACACGCCCTTCCAGTGGGGGAGAATCTGGCGTTTGCAGCAGGATCCTCTGGCTTTTCTGGTCCTCAGTGACCACCAGAGCTCCTGCTCTCGGGCCCACACATTTGTCACCAGCATAAATGCCGCGGGGGCAGCGGGCAGGACTGGGGCTGCCCGGGTGGGTAGCAGGAGTTAGTCTGCGACCACTCTAGCGTTGCTGACATTCCCTTCGGCCAGCGCTGTATTCATAACACAGGTGTTGTTTCTCTATTTTGCTTTCAGGTTCCCAAAGAGGTAAAGCAGTGGCGGTGGCCGGCAGTGGTGTACAGCATTCTTGGGGGGTCCTAAGTCTGTCTGTGACTCCCCGAGAAGCTTCCTGGTAGGGCCGATGATCAAGGATGATAGGAGGGTACCATACCCCATGATGTGCATTTTCTCACTTCCACCAGGATACACTGCCCATCAAACACAAACCTTCACACACTCATTCTTTCACACGTATACACTTACAGAGACACATTCTAAAGGTGGCTGCTTTCTGGGATAGGGGAATCACCTCCCTCAGAACCCAGCCAAGGTCCTTCCCCGTCTCTGGGGCACTTGTCAAGCTGAGGGATTTGGAGTTGAGGATCACCGGTTCTGGTGAGTGGTCCTATCTAGGGAAAGTATAGGCCTGACCTTCATTTCTGGATCACACACACACACACACACACACACACACACACACACACAAAAGGAAGGGGAAGTGAGATCTGGAATGTCTGTGCTGTTGAGCAACTGGGGCCTTAGGAATTAAGAGTAGGTAGGTGGAGACTGTGAAATGAATGGCCAAAGGGTTAGGAAGGAGCCCTCGGAGGGGACTGTGAGTAGGTCCAGGCCGCCCTCCGCAGAGCTCAGGTGTCTTGGGTTCTTGTCCTCAGATGCATGGGAATAAGCAACACCTGCAGAAGGACTTTTTCTTGTACAACGCCTCCAAGGCCAGAAGCAAAACCTATATCAACATGCGGGAAGTGTCCCAGCGCTTCCGCCTGCCCCCCAGCGAGTACGTCATTGTGCCCTCCACCTACGAGCCCCATCAGGAGGGGGAGTTCATCCTCCGGGTCTTCTCTGAGAAGAGGAATCTCTCGGAGTGAGTACCAGCCTGATGTGCCTTACCTGCCCCTAAGAGGTCACACAGCCCCTGGCCTTTGCCATTCTCCTCTCCTGAGCCCATCACTCATTTCCTTCACTTCTTTGAGTACTTTCTGCAGCCCTGACAGGTAAAGCCAGGTCCTCACGCACGGCAGGCAAGCCCTCTGTCATGACTTTCCTCTCACTTATTTGGGGAGAGGGTTTAACCAAGTGTCCCAGGCTGGCCTTGAACTCACTCAGATTGGCCTTAAACCTTTGACCTTCCAGTCCCAGCCTCCTAAGGAGTTGCAGTTACAGCCCCGTGACGCCAGAGTAGCCCACAAAACTATATTCATTCCCTTCATCCTGAAGAGTACCCAAGTACTCTTCTAATCACTGGGTTTAGTGAACAAAAGAAGCTTGCTACCTTCATGGAGCTTAACACTCTAGGGACAAAGGACAAGGAAACATTGTGACATCTCAGATTTATAGAAAGGATAAGCAGCAAAAATAAAGCGCAGAGTAGGTACATGAGACATTGAGGGTGGTTGAGCTGCAAGGGAAGCCAGCGAAGCTACATCTCTGCCTTTGACCACAGATGCATTGACAGGCTGATGCTCTGAGTTCTGTCTCTGGAAGAGATGCAGGGAGGAGGTGACTGGACCGTGCTCCGTGGGAGCACTGACAGTACCACAAGTAGCCGTGCTCCTAGGCTTTTCTGGGAATGGTTACATGGGGCTGACTCCTGGGTGAAGGTGTAGTCCCAGGGTTCTTTTAGGTTTAGTCTCACCTTGACTACCAAGAAGTCATGTGGCCTGAACAAGTTCTTGGAGCATTTCATGTATAGTCGGGGATACCGAGACACTATGTTTGTGTTTTTCACAGGGAAGCTGAAAACACAATCTCTGTGGATCGGCCGGTGGTAAGTGACTAGGTTCTTAGATATGAGACGATCTCTGGGGGGGTCACATTTCCAGCCCAGGCAGGGGTAGGGGGTGGTGGGAAAGTGGTATTGGTGAGGGCAGCCTAATGTGTAGGACAGAAGGAAAACAATTCTACAATGGAAGAACCACTTGGTCAGTCAGAAGCCGGGAACATGGAAGAGGAGAAACTGTTTTGTCAATTCGAGGAAGGTGGCTGGACTTAGGAAATGACGGCAAATCCGATTTCTCACTCAGAGAAAAAGAAGTGTACTGACTCAGGACCCAGGGTCAGAACCTGGATCATTCACCTCCCACTTTGGTGATTCGAATAAGTTACAGAACCCCTCTGACTCAGTTTTCTACTCTGCAAAATGGGGATAATATTAATGCCCTGGCCATGCTTATGGGGTCAAATCAGTAAGCCCCCACATGAGGTATGGCTTGTGAGCCACATGGGATTTCCAAGCTCTCCTCACATGTGTGGTTTGCATCAGTTTTCCCCAACATTCTAAGAAGTGGATGGCATCTTGGCTTTTCACAAGAGAAGGTGGTGCCTCAGTAGGTTAAATGGTTTCTTGGCCTTCTCAGAGGCAGGAAGTAGCAGGCAGGGGCTAAGAACTCAAGTTCAGATTCTCCTACCTTCTAGCCTACAGAAGCACAGAATGTGTGCGTGTGTTGTATATGTGTGGGCATGATATGTATGTGTGTATGTGTGTGTGGTATGTAATTTGTATGTGTGTAGTATGTATGTGTGTGGTGTGTAATGTGCAGGTGTGGTGTGTATGTGGGTATGGTGTGTAGTGTGTGTGGTGTGTAATATGCAGGTGTGGTGTGTATGTACGTGTGGTGTGTAATGTGTGTGTGGTGTGTAATATGCAGGTGTGGTGTGTATGTACGTGTGGTGTGTAATGTGCGTGTGTGGTGTATAATGTGTGTGTGTGGTGTGTATGTGTGTGTGGTGTGTATGTGTATGTGTTGTGTAATGTGCATGTGTGGTGTGTATGTGTATGTGGTGTGTAATGTGTGGCTGTGGTGTGTATGTGGGTGTGTATGTGGGTGTGGTGTGTATATGTGTGAGGGAAGGGAGGATTGAGGATTCTCAGGTTTGCTGTGGAGCTTTGGGCTGTTCTCAGTGAGTGTGACTTGAGTCAGGACAAACGTCCCACTGATTGCCTTTCATGTAGTGACTTCCATGATCATAATGCTGACTCTGTGCTAGTGTAGGAGCCAAGCACCTTCCTAGTCCGCTGCGTGTCGGATTTTGGTGTTAGGTGTGTATCTTGCTCATTCTCGTCCTTTGGATGCTGTATCAGCGTAGCGTATCCATTGGGACTCAAGACTTCATGGACTAGGGCGTGGGATCCACAAGGCCCTAGATTCAGCTCTAGCACTGCTTAGAAAGGGGAGGGGCTTACAGGAGCTGGCGTGTCCCATGCGTACAGCAGATCAAGGGAGGGATTTTCCTGTCCCTAGTCCCTAGTGCTGTGTTTGCAGCTCTCATGTGACACTGGCCTCAGCAGTGGAGGAACAACAAGGCTCAGCTGACTGCTGCTACGGGAGTAGCAGGCCCAGGGCAGTCGCCAAGCCTTCTGGTTTTATGAAGGAAGCCCCAACCCTGGAAGCCCATATTAAATCTCCCTGTTAAATGATCTCTTAAAGCAAACTTATTTTCACACAGGTTCGAGAGAGCCACATTTTGGTAACCATTTTTTTTTTAAAGCCTGGGAAGGTCCTTTCCCTCCCCAGCAGTGGGAGTCTCAAGACAGGGTTTCTCTGTGTGCAGCCCTGGCCATCCTGGAACTTTCTTTGTGTGTAGACCAGGATGGCTTCAGATTCAGAGATCCCTCTGCCTCTGTCTCCTGAGTGCTGGGATTAAAGGCGCGCACCTCCTCACTCCCCCACGCCTGGCAGGCTGTCAGTCTCTTGCTGTAGAGAGAGAAAGCTCCTCTCACTTTCCCTCCACACCCTTTGAAATTGTATTTTATTTATTTGTGTATGTACATGCACACGTGGAGGTCAGAGGACAACGGTGGCAGTCACTGCTCTTCATTTGCGTGTGGTTCCCAGGGGCCACACTTGGGTTGTCAGGCTTGGTGGCAAGTGCCTTCACCCACTGAGCCATCTCAATGGCCTTCATATCCTTTGAAGTTCCAACCGATCACAGTATCTGGACCCCAGAGCCTCGAGCACTGGCTAGTCTAGAAACCCGATTTTCACCTATTTCCCATTTGCTGTTTCCCTTTCTATGCAGAAAAAGAAAAAAAACAAGGTGAGTATAACAGGGTGAGTAGTTAGGACACTGTGCATGTGTGTGTACATGCATGCATGTGTGTGAACACCTGCACAACATGTGTGCACACACGTGCAACATGTATGTGTGTACATACACACATGCATGCACCTGAGCAGCTTGGGTGTATATACATGCATGTGTATGTATGCCTGTGCAACATGTGTGTGTATGTACACGTGTGGCATGTATAAGAGTGCTTCTTCCTTCTCTTCTTGGAGCGTCTGCTGGGCTGGGTACCCTTCAGGTACTTGTCCTGTGTTACCTCCATTTCACAGTAGTCCTAGGACAGCGGCTCCATTATCAGTCCTGTTTGTAGAGGGAGCAAAGGTAAAGACAAATGAGTCTGCTGAGGCCACACATCCGGGAAGAGACATAGCCAGCACTGGAGCCAGGTGGTCCCCAGTCGGTGTTCTGAAACAGCACAGCCATCAGACAAGGTTTGGTACAGGTGCTTATGGTGATCTCGGGGAAGCTGTTGCAGAGGTTCTAGCATGGGTGCTGATCCAGACCAGAGGGAATCTTTACTGTGTGCTCTGCTTGTAGCAGCCCCTGACCTCCTCCCCATAGAATAGCATCTACAAGGTGAGTACTGCTTATGGTTTTAGAAGTGAGGGTTCATGTTCAGAGAAGTGAAGTGATGTGCCCAAGGGCACACATGGAGCAGGTGGGGACACTGGAACCAGTCCCATATATGTCTGCTCTGAACCCTAGTGTCCTTACACTCCAGGGCCTGTGTTGTCAAGACCTGCATGTGAGCCTCTATATGTATGGCTGGTAGAGATGCCCCGTGGCTGTACTGCCCACTGGTCCCCTCAGTCTATCACTGCTGCCTGTTCAGAGATCCCCACCAGCTTCATTTGCCTGGGCTAGAGCTGTTGTTTAGAAAAGCAAGCTGGGGTCTAAGGCACCTCCTGGAGCCAAAACTGGTAGAGCTGTTTTCCCATGTGTCGCCCTGGGTGACCTAAACAGCATGGGAGGACAGTGGAGCCTCCCTGGTCAGGCTGCTTTTGTGGCTGGGACTGCTTGCTTCATTGTCATTGGCTGCCACTCTCTAGCCCTTCTGTAGCCTCTGCTCTTGCACGAGCAGAACGTTAAAGTAACATTCCTGCTGCTGGAACTCATCTGGCCCCACAAAAACCCTATCAGAAGAAAAAGTCGGGTTTCCCAGCTTCGGTAACGATAAGTAAATGGTCAGTGAAGGCGTTTCTTACATGAAGGGAAGGCTGGCTGGGGTGCTGACAAGCCACCAAACAGCACATTCTGAGGGGTCCCTTGGGTACCGGGGCGGGGGGCTGGAGCCCTGATCCCTGCTAGGATGGTCTTGAACTTGTGGTTATCCTCTCTGCTGAGATTATGATTGTGTGCCACCATGATGGACCTGAAAGGCTGGAAGGCCTCGTTTTCTTTCCTTCCTTCCTTCCTTCCTTCCTTTCTTCCTGGTTTTTCAAGGAAGGGTTTCTATGTAGCTTTGGCGCCTGTCCTGGAACTCACTCTCAAGATCAAGCTGGTCTTGAACTCACAGAGGTCACCTGCCTCTGTCCCCCGAGTGCTGGGATTAAAGCCGTTCACCACCACTGACTCATTTTCAATGGGTTTTACACTGGGGGAATTCAATGTTTTTTCATTTGAAAGATCCATGGTGTTTTAAATCACTGATGTCCATCATGTACTTTCAGCATTCTTAGAATTTTATATAAACTACTTTGTATTACCATGGGGAGAAATGTGGTTGGCGTGATAAAATAATGGGCCCATTAATTTTATACTACACATTAATAATTTTTAAAAATATGAATAAAAGTGAGAAAGAACTGAGGTTCAAGCCAGTGCATGGCGTACTCAAGGTTAGCTTGGGCTACATAGTGTGATTCAGCTGCAGACAAACAACACACACACACACACACACACACACACACACACACACACACAGAGCACCAGAGACTTGGCATCTCTCCGCAGTCACACAGCCTGTCGGTGCAGACACAGAACTTGAACTGAGATTCAGGAGCTCCTGAGTGTGACCGTTTCCTCATTGGACAAAGCTGCTCCGGGGGAGGCTGTCTCTGGTGCCTATCAGCCTGTAATCCTTGCTTCCTTCCTGCCCTCTCCATCCTCTTTCCCTCCCCTCCCCAGCCCATCATCTTCGTTTCAGACAGAGCAAACAGCAACAAGGAGCTGGGTGTGGACCAGGAGGCAGAGGAGGGCAGAGACAAAGCAGGGCCCGATAAGCAAGGGAAAGCCCCACAGGTTTTTGAGCATGCGGCGTGGATGGGGAGTTTAGCTCGCAATGGGGCTCTGCTATGCTCTAGGGACCCGTGGGGGTTACAGCCACTCCCAGGGAGGATCTCTTCAACAAAGAGGGATTTGGAGTCACCCCCTCGCAAGTTTCTGTGAACTTCGGGGTACTTCTGCAGGTCGGCTGCCACACCAAACTGGTCCCCAGATGGGAATGGCAGGACAGCCTTCTGGAGCTTCTAGCAGAACAGAGCTGAGACAAGTCTTCTGGAGACGGGGAGGCTGCACTGTCTTCAGTTCAGAATTCAGGGAGGGAAAAGGATGGTAGCAGAAAGCGGGGTGGGGGGCGGGGCAGCAGCCATGCAGTCCTACAGAACTCCAGGGCCATGTACTCTACCCAGAAGTACCCACATAGTGGGCTGGACCAAGGCTCTTTTAAATACTTAGCCCCAGAGACAGAGGCAGTTAGAGGACCTGACTGGAAGAGTCAGGCTCCAAACAGTGGAGAAAATGGGGAGAGGATGGAGGATGCTATCTGCATGTTGGCATGGAGAAGGCAACCTTTGGCCAGAGGTGCTGGGCAGGGCTAGAGAAGCAGAGGGCAGAGCTGCTGAACCAAGGATCCCTACTCCGGCGCAGCGGGTCGACTGAGAACATAAGCCTGCGCCAGCTACTTCCGCTTTGTGGGGCTGTTTGGGATTGAGGCCCGGGTTCCTATGAACCGGTCTTCTGTGTCCCCACAGGCACGGCCTGGCCACACAGACCAGGAGACTGAGGAGCAGCAACAGTTCCGGAACATCTTCAGGCAGATCGCAGGCGATGTACGTGTTTTCCTCCTAGCCGCAGGCTCCCAACTAAAGAGACCCACTGTTTAGCAGAGGATGTGGGTCACATCACAGAAACCTGTGCCTTTATGTTTGGGTCTAACACAACTACTGGGTGGCTCGCAACCAGAAGGTTGTGAGCTGCTTGCTACAGTCGAGGGTGCAGAAACTGGCCTGTCTTGCTCAGAAAAGTCCCAGCTTCCCACGGCAGAAGAAAAGGGATCTTACAAGCATGGGCAGCTGGGACGGTCCACTGGATGCTCTGCCCTTCACAACTCTCCTCTCCCGCAGGACATGGAGATCTGTGCAGATGAACTCAAGAACGTCCTTAACACAGTGGTGAACAAACGTGAGGGACTCATGCCAGATGCGGGGGATGGGCAGGGGCCATGGCTGTCTGAAAGCAGCTCCTCACCCTTCTCCATCCCCCCAGACAAGGACCTGAAGACACAAGGGTTCACCCTGGAGTCTTGCCGAAGCATGATAGCTCTCATGGATGTATCCTTCCGGCCACCATCCCCAATCCTCTTATCTGTCCTTAGAGTCGGGAACAATTAGGGGTGTCCATGCCTAGGGAAAGGCTTAAGGGGATCCTGACTCGGGCCATCATGGCCTGGCAGTGAGGGTTAGGGAAAGATACTGGGTTTTAGCTTGTCATCATCTCCTGCCTTATCACAGGCCTGAAATCCTGTTTGGGATGCTGCCCAAACAAGGATTATTCTTAGGGGACAGGCTCAGTGGGCTATAGAGATGGTAGGAACTCTGGTTAAGGATGGAGGGGAAGGATAGAACCTGGGATCAGGAGCAAGGTAGAGGATGCTGGTTGCTCCGCCTTCCTGCATAGTACCCTAGATACCACTCCCAGTTCAGGGGATCTTTCTATGTGCCTGTGGCCCTGACATTCATCCTCCAGACAGATGGCTCTGGGAGGCTGAATCTGCAGGAGTTCCATCACCTCTGGAAAAAGATCAAGGCCTGGCAGGTAGGATGAGAGTCTAATGTGGGGGTTGGCAGGGTTAACTTGGGATTGTGTGTAACCGCTATCTTCGAATTTTCAATTTTCAGAAAATCTTCAAACACTATGACACAGACCATTCCGGCACCATCAATAGCTATGAGATGCGAAATGCAGTCAATGATGCAGGTGCTGGGGGCAGAGGGCGTAAGATGCAGACCCGAGAGCTGTGGAAGCAGGATGGGATGGGTCTTGGTAGAGAGAGCAGGGGGAGTGTCTCCTTTCCCAGGCCAGTGTGGCCAAGAAGCAGGGAAGAGAGACTGCAAGCCTGGGAACTTCACTCCCGTTTCTTCTCCCTGCCTTTCCTAGGCTTCCACCTCAACAGCCAACTCTATGACATCATCACCATGCGCTATGCAGACAAACACATGAACATTGACTTTGACAGTTTCATCTGCTGCTTCGTCAGACTGGAAGGGATGTTCAGTAAGTGTCTTAGTTAGGGTTTCTACTGCTGTGAAGACACATCATGACCACGATGCTGGTTATGTACTGCGTGGATTTGTGCTGAAGGTCAGCATTCGGCACAGGGGCTTCTTCAATCATAGATCTGATCATTCAGATAATGCTCACTCTTGATCCAGCAGGTAGTAGAGGTAGGAGAATTATGCGTTTAAGGCCAGCCTAGGAGCCATGGATAGACCTTGGTTCAATAATACAAGGGCTGGCAAAATGACTCAGCTGCATGTGTCTGGTGACCAGAGTTCAATGGCTGAAACCCATGAGGTGGAAGGAAAGAACCAATTTCAGAGCGACCCTCCAACCTCTACGTGTGTTCTGTGATGTGCCCAGAAGCACACACAATAATAAACTCTTTAAAAAGCAAACACAAAGCCAAAACCTGAAAAGGAAAGCGCAAACGATCATGGCAGAGATAGTGACTGGCTTTTGGCCTATGCATTCTTTCACACAGGAGCTTTCAATGCATTTGACAAGGACGGAGATGGCATCATCAAATTGAATGTTCTCGAGGTCAGTGTAACAAAGAGCACATCCTCCGCACCACACAACCCAAGGTGGAGTGAACGAGGACCCTGTGTGCGCCTCACTCCCAGACAAGAACCTGAAAGGGGGCCTAGTGGTTCCTGGGGTGTGTGTACCACGAGGCTTTTGTCCCCCAAGTTGCACTTCCAGAAAACACTCTCCTAGAAAAGACCCAGGAAAGGGAGCAGGATGCTCTTTTTAAGACCCTGCCCTTGTCTGATTCCTGATGTGAGAGATCCTAGGGCTGGCGGGCCTCTGCTTGTTTCTGTACTGATGTAGAGTTTTCTCTTTCAGTGGCTGCAGCTTACCATGTATGCCTGAACCAGACAGGCCTCATGCAAGATCAACCAGGACTCCAACCCAACCCAGCTAGAGTCATTGACCACAAAGAATCCGGTAGCTGAACCTCCACCAAGCCTAGGGAGCTTCTGGTCTTGTTCCTTCTCCACTATGGCCCAAATCTTGGTGTCCAGCCTGATGCTTGGGAGAACTCTCTGCCACCTGAAGCCTAGTGTCTGCCTGACCTAGGTGCAGCCTCACTGCTGATTCTGAACTGCCCACTTAGCTTGCACTGGGCTGTCTACAGTACTTCTAGAGGTACTCACTCACACACGAGCCCAGTCACCAAGTCTACATCCAGTTCTGCCAGTTTTAGGATGGGTTTACTCTGGGGTAAACAGGGATACTTTGGGGTATCTGATAATTTGGCTGGGTTCTGAAAAAAAGCTATCTAAATAAAGGCACATGTATGGCTGGCTCCAGTTTTATTTCTCAGCCACAGCACGACTATCTTCCAGATATACTTTTATTTATCACCTCCAAAAAGACCTAGTTTGAGACTAGGGAGATAGTTCAGAAGACACAGGGTTATACAAGTACGGAGGACCCCAGTACAGATCCCTAAAAGTCAAGTGTGACAGCTCACACCTGTAACTCCAGTACTGGAGAGCAAAGACAGAGGAATTCTACAGACCTGCTGGCCAGCCAATCTAGTTAAAGGGACAGTATTTGGTGAGAGCTTGTCTCAAAAAATAAAGTGGAGGTCAGGCAGTGGTGGCGCACGCCTCTAATCCCAGCACTTGGGAGGCAGAGGCAGGTGGATCTCAGTGGGTTAGAAGCCAGCCTGGTCTACAAAGTGAGTTCCAGGACAACCAGGACTGCGTCTTGAAAAACCAAAAAAGCCTATTGGAGGAGTGATCACCCACCTGTAATCCCATCCCAAGGGAGACAAAGAAAGGGGATCCTTGGCCTGATTAGCTAGTCTAGCTGAGCTGGCAAGTTCTGGGTTAAAGTGAGAGACACCTGAGCTTTCATGAGAAAGGTGGAGACTGAAGACAGCATCAACCCGACCTCCACTGGCATGCATACACCGCACACAGGGAGATGGAGGAAAACACCCACAGCCGATCTGACCCCCACACCTGCACACACCACACACACAGAGGGAGATGGAGGAAAACACCCACAGCCGATCTGACCCCC